AATTGTTAAGAAGGTTGTTGAAGGAGAAAGCCAAAGCGGAGTATGTGTGTTCTCATCAAAGATAGTGTAAATCATTTTTTTTGTACTCTGATGATAGCGATAGGTTATTTATTAATTTCAATAATGCTACTTACTGGAAAATAATCTTTTGAGTTATGATTGTAAGAATTATTAAAGTTCGTTTTCAAAAATAAATTTCTAGGATTAACCACATTAATTGGTCATTGTATCGCTCTTAGATACTAAATTTTAAAAAATATATATTTTTATGTTTTTATAAATAACAATAATCAAGATAGCATTTGATGATGAACACGATAAATCATCTTTAATTATGATCATTATCTTCAATGGTTTTTTAATTTTTAAAAAAAAAATTTATTTAAATCGTTAATGATAATATCAAGTAACTTTATTATATAATCAACAAATCTAATATTTATTTATCACTTATATAATACTGTACTGCATAAAGTATCATGTTTATCTGTCAAATATAGTTCCATATTAGGGTTTGTGATTGGTAATATTAATGTGCTTTTGCTTTTTAATATTAATACATAAACGAATAATATTTTATATTAATAATAATTATTGTTATAATTGTATACAGCATGTGTGAATTGTAAGATCGTATGGCATCTCGACTTATGGTATTACAAAGTTGTCTTTATTCAATAGTTTCCTTCGATAGACGTTTTTTACATATTCATTTTTTCGATTTTCGCAAGGTAATCGTAAAACTATAATTAGGAATGGTCTATATTAATTATGACATACAGAAATGGTGCGAGTCACTACCAAAAAGTTCAACAATAAGATGTCTCCATTGTACAGTTATTAGGAAATTTTTCTAGTTACGATTTTTTGGGTTCGGAAAAATTAAAGTAGGGATGTCAAATGCGATACGTGCAAGTATAAAAAAGATGTAATACAGATTAAATTGAGCCGAAGATCCGATGAATGTACACACATGTTACAAAGACTAAACAAAGACGTGACTCTTTGTTCTTTGTCAAACAAGACTCTCGTTGGCGTATAGTAATGTACATCAATCTCTTGGATTGATTTAAGTAAACGGACGTTCCGCTTTCATTTTTTCAGACAAAAATCATCCATTTTGCCAGCAAACGAAATTCTGTCAATATGAATCTCGAATATGTTCTCAAACTTGGAATCCAATTATTGGAAATAGTCTGCTTACTATATGGACTAAAATACGTGTTTAATGTGAGTAAACTTTTCATGCCCGCGTGGAAATTCAAAACCCGATTAAATCTTTCTTGATCAAATAATATAATAATAGGTGATCTATGTTGCGTACATTGGACCCCTCAGCAAAATTCCTGGACCAAAAATAAGCTTCCTAACTAACTTATATATCTATATAAGGCAGATAAATGGCAAAAGGTATCTTTCGATTGGACTAAATTACAAATTTTCTTAACATATGTAACATTAACTGTGAAACTTTCTTGAAAGGTGGAAATGGTTACAATACGAGATTCATCCAAAGTACGGTCAAGTGGTTCGAGTTTGTAAGCTGTTATTCTTTTTCATTTATTTATACTCGATGTATTTCCTTTGATAACTACATAATTTTCGTAATCACCTCAGCACCAAGTTTGGTTGTAATTTCAGACAAAGACATTCTCAAACAGGTAATTGTGGTCAAGACAGAATTCCTTTCTTTTTTGTTTTTTGGTAATAATATTTACGCGTGTTTTTTTTTTATGTTTGCAGATTTTGGTGACGAATGTAGGTGAATATTGACAAACTGATGTGTAAAGGCAGGCTAAAGGTGTTGACTTGACCTTACCTTTTCCTAGGAATTGCCTAAAAATAAGAATTATGAAAAATTACGCACCGACAAAAACTATTCCACCCTATTCAACACGAGGTTCGGATGTTTAATGTCTTGTTTTAAAAGTTTTTTAAAGATAATCGAATTCGAATTTTATTTATTTATTTATTTATTTATAGGGACCGAGAGTTTCACAAGAACCGTGTAAGAAGCCAAAGCATCGTTTACTTGTTTGCTTTATTCAAGAGTTGATTATTAACGGATGTTGTCATCATAGCGCCGTGTCCTTTCACCAGCTTTTTCCATGAAACAAATTTCATCTCTCGAAAGCCTCATGGACTTATGTTGCCTAGATTTGACAGAGAAAATCGATGAAATAATTGCATTGAACGGCTCGAAAGATGCCGTCGTTGATATTTATAATTTGATTCATTTAAACGCATTGGTGCGTCTCTTTCCATATTCAAAATTTTCTATTTATTAAAAATGAAATTTTAACTTATTAAAGCCTTTTTCTCTTTTTTAAAATTTCGTAGGACATAATTGGAGAGACATCATTTGGTGGCTCATTCAAGTTGGTAAAGTATGGAAGTCATCCTCTACCTGGCAAAGTGTTCAAAGAGTTTAGAAGAAGAGTATTGGTTTGTATTACTTATAAACTTTACATTGATCAAACGTCATAAGAATGATCTATTGTTACAACTCCATTTTTTGAAATTTTAGAAAGCCATGTTTCCTGCCTTTGGTCAATTCTTGAAAATAGATCCTTATCTTGTAGATGTAAGGTTTATTCATCTTTACTTACCATTTTCTTTATTATCTTAAGTTGACGTGTCCTTAAATTGTTTGATAGTTCACGAAAGAAATAATAAAAAAACGTAGACAATCGACCTCCACGAGAAAAGATTTATTGCAAGCTCTATTGGATGCGAGAGACTCGGATGGCAATGGATTGTCGGATTTTGAAATCTTCGACCAATGCTTTGAGTTCTTGTGAGTCTTTCTGATAATCCATTTTGATTTAAATCATATCCTTATGCTTTAAATGCTCACCACGTCATATTCTCTTTATAATTAATTAGACTCGCTGGAAGTGACTCGACCAACTTTGCAACTTCAATGACATTAATTGAATTAATCAGGCATCCTGAAGCATATCAGAAGTTGGCCGAAGAACTCGATAAAGTGGCTTCGGAATATGACCCAAATAAAAATTTGATTCCACCCTATAATATTTTGAAAAATTTGCCTTACCTAGACGCTGTTATCAATGAAGGTCTCAGACTTTATCCTTCCACTAGAGGTGACTATGATCTGTTTGATTTTTTTCAACGTGTTCTCAAAGCCGTTATTATTTTCTAACAATATATATTTGTGATTAGATTTTGGTAAAATTTTTACTTCCTTATCATCAATTCTTGCGTCCTACATTTCTTCTCGTAAACTAATCACCTATCCAAATATAAAAAGGTCCAGGAAAAGAAACCGTAGAAGATATGGTAATAGGTGATTACTTAATTCCGAAGGGCGTATGTATCTATTTTTGTTAGATTGCGAGAACCTTGAATAGTTCCTTATTTCCTTCTCATCGAATCATTGTAATTATGCAGACATTTCTCATTGCAAACATATTTGCTGTACAACGCTTGAAAGAATATTGGGGCGAAAACTCGAATGAGTTTGTTCCGGAGCGATGGTTGAATCCCGAGAATATACCGACCAATGGATTTATTCCATTTTCGGCTGGTACGAAATTTTTCCGTTTGATTTTTTTTATGGTCAAATTATTCATTATTATTGACTTTTTTTTTCTTTCTTTTGACTCTTCAGGATCCCGGAATTGCATCGGGCTCAAGTGAGTATTTTTTATCGCTACCTTTTATATGATGCAATAAATTAATGTAAAATCGTCGTCGAATATTTTTAGTTTCGCGCGGATGGAAATGAAGCTCACAGTCTCGGCATTAGTGTTGAAATATGAATTTGAAGATATCCCTGGTCAAGATGAAGAAGTATTGCATTTCGTTACTACAGGCTTAAAAACCAAGAGTCATAAAGTTACAGCTAGATGCCGAATAAAAAAATGATTTAATTCTTGCAATGAAAAAAACCAGTTCACGTGAAATTTATAAAACAATCATATACAGTAATCCATATAAGATCTTTATTATGTACACAATCATTTGAATAATCTATTCATCTACTTATCTCTAGTTATTCTAAACAAATAGTTTTTATTTATAATAAGTAAATAATTGACTATTCAATATTGTCATTAATTTTAAATATAAATAAATAAATATACGTATATATATATTATTAAGAATACCAAAAATATCATAAAATTCATTGCTATTTATATAGCGTGTTACAAAGTTTTTGGACCAATATTTTTTGCATATAACTTGATAAATACATAATTATTTAAGTAACATAAAACTTTAATGTAATCATAAAACTATTTGGATTTTATATTGTTACTAAAATTTTTGAAAATTTTATTAACTTTTGATAGATACCATCATATATTAGCATCATTTATCATTATTTATTAGTTTTAGTTATATTTTCTATAGAATATTTTCTTCTTTTTATCAAGAATTCTCAAAATGCCTATATAGTTTTGAACGGCACAGTAAATTCAGAGTGCCATAGCTCAAAAACCATGTTCTGAAGCTTTTTTGAGGTTCTAAACAACTATTTGCGAAAAGACTAGAGGAACAACTTTTGTCAAGGCCTCAAAAGTGATTGTTTTACTGATATTTTGAATAATTTCGTCTTTTATCTTACAGATGAGAATTTTCTTTGATAATCATTTTAAGTGTAACAAATAATTCTCTAATCAATTATTTTGTGTAAATAGATGAACTATACATAAATAATTAGATTAGAAGTGACCTACAATTAATCAAAACATTATAAAAAGGTTACAATTTTCCCCAGCTGTGAAAAAAAAAGACAATTATTATAATTATAAAATTTTGAATTCTTGTATTTTCTTTAACTTTCTTTTAATAAAATTATATTTATCTCATATTTTTCTTTTACATTTTTCTATTGTTTTTCTATTGAAATTCAATATTTTTATATTGTTATCTTTTGATTCCAATATCAGGGCAGAGTTG